ATGATTTCTCTGTGTAAGAGACTCCACTGGCCAAATTGCCCTGATGGTGACCTCTCAGAGTCATTTTATTTGCTGCATGTAGTTGAGCTCCTCTTTAATACAGCAGTAGAAGGTGATTGACAAACAATGGAAGCCTATGGAGTCTTGTGGCTGGGTTTCAACATACTACTTTCTTTAAGATGCAAAGGTTGTTGTAATCAGCCCTCTCCACCTCTTGACAGGCAGACACATAGTCAATTATCTCTTCTATAACCCCAAACATGGTCCCTGTATTTCTGACTTCTCCCTAAGTTTCTGAATCCTGGCCTTTCTATGGTGATGTTCCTATCAATGCCCCATACGGTTTGGGCTTCTCTTAACTCCTGCCTTGTCTAGCAAACGGTGTTTGGTTTCTGCTCTTGACAACTCCCTTGGATTTGGCATTTACATTTCCTGCTCTCGATAAATACTCTCTCGTTGCCACCACAATAGAAACTTATGTCACACAGAACTTCTGCCCAATCCCTCCTGTCCTGTCCCTTCCCCAAGTGATATTATCCACTTCTTCTCAAAGATATGCTCAGTATCTTTATTGATCACTTCCCACTTTGGTTCTGTGAGGGTTTGGGGTAAAGAGAATTAGAGATCTCTCTCTGTATCTTTCTAGAGAGCTTTGATTCTCCTATTATAGGACTTGGAGAATAAAATGGACTCTCTCTTAGCATCTAAACTCAACAATCCAAACTTTGTTTGGGGTACTAGTTAAATCCTGAGCCTCAAAGATTCTAAACTAAAAGTATAAATATAGATTTCACAGAATACACAGATACAAAACATTGGGATAGATAAGCTTGGGTCCACACTGAACGTTATCCAGGATAAATTTAAGTGAAAGAAAGTCAGGGAGATAAAATGCTTTTGAAAAAAGATCTGATAGCCAGACTTGGTGGTGCATGCCTTATAATCCCTGCTACTAGATGAATAATGCTGGTGAATTGCTTGAGTTTAGGAGTTCTGAGCTTCAGTAGGGCTAAAGTTGATTGGGTGTCCACATTAAATCTGGCAGCAGTACAGTGAGCTCCAAGGAGGGGGGTGGGGGAAGGGACAGGTTGGACTCAGAGCAGGTCAAAGCTTCTGTGTAGATGAGCAGTGGAATCATCCCTTGAGTAGCTGCTGTACTTGCGCCAATCTCAAGAGAAAAAGGGAAGATAAGGAAAAAGAAAACATCTGATAACGCTCAGAAGAATACAGGAAAACTTGTGGCAATGTCAATAGCCAGGTCACTGACACATGAATCAGACTAAGGAAGAATAATCATAAATAATATTTATATAGCATTTACTATGTGCCAGGCACTCTGCTAATTGCTTTATAATTATTATCTCATTTGATCCACAACAAGCCTGGGAGGTAGGTGCTATTATTATCCCCATTTTACATATGAGGAAACTGAGTTAAACAGAGGTTAAGTGACTTGCCTAGGTCTTCCTGACTCCAGACTTGGTGCTCAATCCACTGTGCCACCTAGCTGCCCCAGTGACAACAAAGGACACAATACTGCATGTACTCAGAAAGGACAGTGCCAGGAGACCAATCTTTTCTTTCTCCAATTTCTCCAATTCTATAACACCTACCTTCATGTACAGAATAAATATCACATCCCTTCACTAACCTCTGAAGAACTTTCTATAATAATTCCCCCTGGAAAAACCAAGACACAGCTAACCACATCTGGCAAGAAAGAAAAGTCAACATTCATTCTCTAACCTAATGGGCTATTTCCTTTCATGCCAAATATTCACAGTCCATTGTCAAGGAATAAATTATCAGTTATCCATCCGAATAATTCATAAATAAGTCTCACTTTTTCTTCAATTATCAGGACATACACAAGAATCATGGATCATAGAATCAAAGAGCTAGGGTTAGAAGGTAACCCATAGATCAATTGGTCTAACATGCTCTTTTTAGAGATGGGGAAACTGAGGTACAAAGTAGATTAGTAGGGTGCCCAGATCAGGAAGGCCTGAGTTCAAATTCAGCCCCAGACACTTAATAGCTGTGTGACCCTGAGCAAGTCACTTAGCCTGTCTGCCTCAGTTTCCTCAACTGTAAAATAAGGATAATAATAGCACCTGCCTTCCAGAGTTGTTATGAGGATCAAATGAGATAATATTTGTAAAAAGTGCGTAGCAGAGGACTGGCACCTAGAAGACACTACACAGATACTTGCTCCCTTCCCTTTCCTTAAGAGACTTGCCCGTGGTCACACAAACAATAAGCAGCAGAGGCAAAATTTTAACCCATAGTTAGGCTACAGTATTCCATATTATTTGGGACTAGCAGCTATCATCATTGCCTCATTAAACAATCATTATCCTCAGATCATAAGGGATTTTTAAACAACTACAGGAAAGTTTGCTCATAAAATCAATAGCCATATACAGCAGTATATAGTATTTCATTTAATTAAACCCAAACACCACCTTTTCTTAAAGCCTATTACCCTACCTAAGTCTTCCTTTTTTTTTTTTTTTTTTGTAAATACCACCATTATTCTCCCACCTCTAAATCTCAGAGCTATCCTTGGCTCCTTTCTCTGTCTCTGTCTCTGTCTCTCTCTCTTCACATCCAATCAATCACCAAATCTTGCCTATTCTTCTTTCAAAAGATTTCTTACATTCATTCTTTCCTCAGTTTTCCCATCTGTAGACCGGAAGAACTTTGACTCAAATTATCCAATAACCTAAGTATGAATTGAAAAATTAGTAATTGCAATACTAATTTTATATTTAAACCAATTCCACAGCAAATGAGAACCAAAGATCCATGTTTCCATCATGTTGCAAAGGAACAGATTATTAGCTCATCCCATCAATTTTTCAGGCTCTCAGCTATTTATATTCACATGGGACCCAACCTGTTAGTCAGGCAGTCCATCTGTTGTCCATTATCATGACCCACCCAGCATCTTTTGTACATGCACAGTATCTCACATTTGAATGGTACTTTATAGTAGACAAAATTATTTCCTCACAAAAAACCGATAAGGTATATAGTACACGTACCATTCTCTTCATCATAAAGATTGGGTTAGAGAGGCCAAATGATTTGCCCATTGTCATATGGCCAGACAGTGAGGGAACCAGACTGGAATCCAAGTCTTCTAATTCCATATCCTAAGCTCTTTCCATTACAACATGATTGATGCCTCCCCATATTTAAATATCTACCACCCCATGCAGGTATGCACTGCAGGATCCCATGCTTCCCTAAAGAATGGTGAAATTCACAGACTAATGAAAAACCAAGCATATGAAATATTTATATATGTGCATATACATATATATATGCATGTATATAATTTGTTGTTGTCATTTTCAGTTGTAATCCCATTTAGGGGGTTTTTTTTGTTTTTTTTTTTTTAGGCAATTGGGGTTAAGTGACCTGCCCAGGGTCACACAGCTAGCAAGTGTCAAATGTTTGGTCTGAGGCTGGATTTGAACTCAGGTCCTCCTGACTTCAGGGCCGGTGCTCTATCTACTGTGCCACCTATCTGCCCCTAGGGTTTTCTTGGTAGAGATACTGGAGTGGTTTGCCATTTCCTTCTCTAGCTCATTTTACACATGAGGAACTGAGGAAAATGGGATTAAGTGACTTGCCCAGGGTCACACAGCTAGTAAGTGTCTGAGGCTAGATTTGAACTGAGGAAGATGAGCGTAATAATAATAATAATAATAATAATAATAATAATCTATTCTATATACATATCTATATGTGAAAAAGAAAAACAACAGCCCTATCCTTATCCTGCTGAGCAAATACTTTCCTACACTCTATGTGGGAATATGATAAATACATACCAGCAAAGGCCCCAGGGAATTGTATGACAAATCAGTAGCAGAAACAAGTGCAATTGGAGATTAATTTTACATATGTTTATGGAGAAAATGCATACATCTCACTGGGCACCTGCACACCCAGGCACCAAGTTAATAAAGTTGCTATTGTAGGCCACTGAAGGCAGCTGGCTCTGAAGGCAGAAGTGTTCAGACTTGAAAAACAGGTGATCGTACATTCTTAAAGCATGTGCAAAATATTAATCAAATCGTTTATAAAAATGCCAGCAGCTGTTTGGTACAATGCATTTCATTGGCTACAGGTACTAATTTAAAGTCTGATATCTGCCACACATATATCCATGCAGAGTACCACAAAAAGAGTCAAAGCCTTAAAAGAATTTCACAGTCTATTCACAAATGTGTCTTAACTTTGTACTGTTCTATTCCCAGCCCAGAGAATCCCAAAGGAAACCACTTTAAAGCAGCATCTTTTCAACAATACTAGGTGACCATTCACACGTCTACTTCGAAAAGGTCTACTGGGGGGGGGGTGGGAGGTGGAGTCTTCATGCATCAGGCAAAAGAAACACAATAGGGGCGGGGTGAGGTGAAGGATGATAAAGTCTGGGATTCCCAAGGAAGATTGGGAGCTGAAAGGGACCTTAATTTTAAAAATAAACTGAGTCATAGAGAGATTAATTGACTTATCCAAGGTCAAACTATTTTTTCTTGCTCCAAGGTCTATACAGATCCATATGACTTAGACTTGCAAGGAAGATTACAAATTATTCTATCAAGACCAACCTCCTCATTTTAAGAATGAGAAAACTGAGGTCCAGAGAGGGTCTTGGGAGGATAAGAGTTGTATGAGCTTGTGGGCTTACGGGTGTGGAATGAGAAGCTGGACCAATGTTCAGCAAATTTGCCTCAAAATTAAAATGGGCTTAAAGGTGAAAGAAACCCCCTTTTCAAAATCCTAGGAAATGAATAAAAGAGGTTCTTTTGGTCCTATTACTGTGTTACTAGCGTTAAGTACTAAAGCATGCAGAGTGGCTATTTTCTTCATTTTTAAAAAAGCCAAAGTCAGTAGACCCACATTTTTTTTTCTAGGACATCTAGAATGTTTACATTCATACCCAGCACGATGATCCTCCACATAACTAAAATCTGTCACTGTACCTTTCTACTCCATTATCCTTGTTGGACTTGGCTGAGCCAGCTGTAACATCTAGAGCATCCTTCTCAGGTACCAGAGGGAGAAGAGAACGATCAGGCTTGGGGCTTTTTCTGAGATGATGGAAGAAAGCAACAAGTACAATTTGTTAGCCAGTTTTCATCTCTATGTTTCTTTGAATGAACACATGTTTTCCAAAGAGAGCTTCGTGCAACAGTTGAACTAAAATGCACAGGAAAAAATTAAATTAATTCACTCAACAGCTCTGAGGGATGTTTGAAGCACATCAGCCTCCCCACTCCCACCCCCAACACCCAAAATATACTCCTCCTAAACAAATCCAGAGTAGAAAACAGATGTATCTGATCTCCCATTGGAACCAAAACTGTACTCTATGAATGACTGTTAAGCTATGACCCTACAGTCCACAGGGCATAAAGTAAACAGTTCATATTTTAAAACAGTTTTAAATTAAACTGAAAGAACTGAAGAAAACATATGACAAATTAGTAATTGTCATGATTTTCCAAATATTTCCCTCCTCAGTTGTTTAGGCTCTAAGTCGAAACTGCTGCAATTCAGAGAGGTTAGCAGATGAGAATTTGGGCAACTGGATAAAGGGGATAGAATTCCCTGAAAGCCCACCCATATGCTCTATTGATTTTTCTAGTCAGGTTAATTTCTAATGAATCTTGTAAGGGGTATGATGATCCCCACAAGAATTAATTGGCCTTAAGTACCTTTCTGTGAGTTTCTCTTCTGAAACAACATCTTGGGGGTTCTGGACTTCTCCTTTATCTGCTTCAGGAGGTGAGCAGACGGGTAACTTGTCATCATTGTCAGGTGGTGCAAATTCATGCTCAGAATGTTGGTCAGTCTGTTGGTTTCCAGTCTGGTTCTCTAAACACTGAGAAGCATCCTTCTCCTCCATCCCCAGAACTGCCTTCAAGGGGCCACACTGAGCCTCTGGACCTTGACTGGGGTGCTTCATTTGCAGAGTTGAGTCACAATCTGGGCTAAATGACACTCTCGAAGTACCTGTTTCAGGGCTGCCTTTTAAGGGCTGATCCTCAGAGGTCTGAGTTTCTGACTCTACTTTAGTAAAAGAATCTTCACTTTTTGCTTTTGGAGCTTTTTCTATCCCCAGGCCAGGTTCTTGTAAGACACCTAACTGGAAGCCCTGCAAACCTAACTCCTGTTTGAAGCAGTCAACCATGGAACGCATCAATAGCCCACTGGGGTTTGGTAAATCCAGAACATTTTCTGCTCTTGGGCTCCCCGAAGTTCTTGAGTCGTCACGAGCACTGTCACCACCCTGGAGCCTCTTTTCATTCCTTGGCATGCTAGCACTGAGCTGCTTATTGCTTACAGCTGGAAAGACTGGAATATCCCCAGGTGGAGAGGAAATTTCCTTGACATGCCCGAGTCCTGGGCTGTTGTCCAGTTCCTTGGTGCCAATCGAAGCATAGAGCTCATCATCTTTGGGCACCTTTTTGCTGGGGGGTATTTCTTGCTGCTGGCTTCCTGGAGGAGTCAGACCCTCTTGAGATAAAGGCATCTCCAAATGGACCTGGGAGATAACATAATACTCCTCACCCTTAGAAAGGGTGGCATTTTCCAAAGGTGTCTTCTGCACAGTAATGTCTAAAGGAAGACTTGAAACTAATTCCTGCTTTCCTCCTCCCTGAAGCTTTTGAGCCTCAAATGTAATCCCTTTATATTTCTCACCAGCTGTTTTAGAGTTTTCTGTTTTATTTTCTTCTTGTGAGACACCAGATGCAATTCCATTCTTTTCCAAGTTGGTATCTAGTAGGTTCTGTTTCATGGTGGGAGCGGTTAAGCCTGGTGACTTTTCTATGCCTATACCTTCTTGACAAGTCAACTTGTCTGGGTTTGTTTGGCAGGAGACAGTCTCCAAAGTCAATTTCTGCTCCTTACCTTTAGCATCTACTCCTTGTCCCATGTGAGTAGTGGAAATCATGATGTAGTCTCCTCCTTGACCATGATGTGAATGCTTCTCTGTGCTTAGCTGCACCAAAGAGTCCTTTCCCATGGGGCTCCATGCAAACCCATCATTTTTTTGCAGAGTAAACTGTGGACGATCAGTGGTCAAAGCACCAAGGACAGATTTCTCAAATATTTTGCTGATATGCGCCTTGAAATCAGGAAATCCAGCCATCATGCTAGGTTGTCCCAAACCAGAGTTCTCACACTCAGATGTGTCCCTGTGCACATTGGAGGTATCTCCTGCCTTCTCCTTACTTTTCTTTGCATCCTCTCTTGGGACATCTGCCATTTTCTGAATACATTCCCCAGAACTCCCTGGCTGGGACTTGAAGTTTCTCCCGTTTTGGATTTCTTTGGATTTAATTGCAGATATTTCCTCCCTTGTCTGGGCAGGCTTCAACATGGGTGAGAGGTAATCTGTAAACAAATTTGCAGAGTCCCCGCAGGTGAACACAGACTTCCCTTCAATACAGGAACTTTCATCAGAAACACTTGGCTCTTTGGTGGAATCAGTCCTTGTCTTGCTATCTTCTGATTTTCTTTCCACAGTGTTGCTTATATTGAGGTTAAGATTCTCAGGAGCCACCTCTGATATCTGACTGGATATCCCAGCAGTCGGCAGCTCTGGCTGCTCCCTGTCTGAGACGGTCTGACATGCCAAAGCACCCGAGACATTACTGACAATTCCACCCATTTCACTTTTGAGTGATGAGTCATTCTTGTAGCTGCCAGACTTCTGCCCAGTTTGGCAGGGACTACCTGAGACAAAGGTGGCTTCATTCTCACCACTACTGGGAGCTGGCTCAGCATCCACCTTAGGACTGCATTCAGTCTGAAGGAAGTCCTTGTTTGCAGCAGCTTCTCCGAGCTTGTGTGATGCCAGACATGTAGCCAGAATTCCTTGGTCAACATTTTTTCTTCTCTCAGCAGATACACTTTCAAAATTCTGTTTGACATGGTCCTCTTGGGTGCTGATTTTGTTACTGAGTGACAGAGTCTCCTGGTTTGAGGGAGCTGGAAGTTCAGTTTTCTCCTGCGTGCCCAACAGAAGCTGACTGCTATTCGAAGTTTCACCAAGCACCTTCTCTGGGGCAGCAGGAGGTGTACTATGGAATCTGAAAATTGATGGAGCAGGCTGAATGTTAGTAGCAGCATTAATAGATGGTTGTGTACCCAGATGACAAGGCGGAGCCCCTACCTCATTTTCACTTGCGTTTTCCGTATTACCTAAGCTACTGGGCTGTGCATGCATGTCAGCTGCCTTAGAAAACTCATTATCTCGGCATGTTTCTTCATGCTGAGTATCTGAGATCAAAGCATCCTCCTTCTCCTGCTGGGGCTTGTCAGGCATCTGCCTAGTACAGCAACTTTCTTCTGTTTTGACATTTAAGTTATCTTGAAGAGAAGAGTCTCTTAAATCAACCACCACAGGAGGAGAAATACCGAAGGACTGTTCAGTGCTACACTGTTTCTCTTGGTCCATCACCAGAGGCAACTTTTCTCTTGTTAGTGTTGATGAGGCCAACTCCTCTGTTGAAGGACTGCCCATAATTTTTTCCTTAGAATCATGTGTACCTGAACTTTGGATACCATTCAGACTTTCTTCATACTGCATATTTTGGAACTCTGATATTGGACTTGGTTCCTGTCCACTATAGGAAGGAGGATAGTTCAAGTTTTCCCCGAGTTCTGGGGGCGGTAAGGTTTTTGAGATATCTTCAGTCCTGGCCTTCATCCCTTCAAGACCATCTGGAGGAATCTCTTTCCTGTTTTCAAAGGGAGAGGTGTTATCACTGAAGTTTGTTGAGACAGAAAGTTCTGAACATAAGTGAGATTGTTGGGAACAAATGTCTGCTGATTGTTCAGGATTTCCTAACTGAGTGATCCTTGTCCTGCTGTTACCTGCAGACGATGCATTTTCCTGCTGATTCTGCGCTGGCCCCTGCGCCTCCACTTCGCTTTTTTCAGTCAAGGTCTCATTATCAGGATGGTTTCTCACATCTGGGTTGAATTCTTGTCCAACTTCCTCATTTGCAGGAGTACTTAAAGGTCCAACCGTAGATACCAGCATGCCCTCAGCATCTTTGCTACAAGACATATTATTTGATTGGTTACTGTGTCCTTTACTTTCAGCCTCCTGGATTTCAGGATTAGCATCACCTCCTGGAGGGACACACATACCAGATTTCCCAGGCTCTCCAACAGGAACGGATTCCATTCTTTCCACTCCTTCAGGACTTTGAAGAGTTTCTGGGAGCTCAGGTTGTAGTCCTGTAACCTCTAGAATAGTTTCTCTAGAAGTGGCCTGTCCATCATCTCCATCCTGCTCCACAGGTTGAACATTACTGCTCCCACAGTGCACAGGCAAGAGACCACCTGTACCAACAGCACAGATTCCATCAGTCATCTCACAGGCCAAGGAGCACAAGGCTGAGTTTTCTGACTGACTCTCAGGCAGCTCCAGCTCCATGAGACCTATGGCCTTGAGCAACTGTGTTGAGTCTGGATGGTGAAGCAATGTGGGCTCCAAATTTGTGGGGTTTGCTTTACTCACTCCCTGACTGGATCTGCCACTGGAATCAAGTGAGGTCTCCTCCTCTGAATGCACAGGTTTGGTGGATTTGGTATCCTGTGCAGCAACTTCCTTTTCTTGAGAGTTATTGCTTTGATTTTCTTCTTTAGTGCCATTTTGATTTGCAGCATCAACAAGTTTCTGGCCTTCATCATTCAACTCCAGCTTTCCCCCCATGCTTTTATTCAACCCACTGGGAAGCATAATGGGGACTGCTCCTTGTACTCTCTCTGTTTTTCCTTCATCCATGGGAGCTTCCATTTCATCCTTAGATAAATGGACAGAATCTTCCTTAGGGCTCATCTCAGGATATTTGCTCTCGCCACTTAAATCTACATTCCCTGATACCATTCCTATATCTGTCATGGGATACCCTTTTGTGGGGCCTGGAAGAGTCTCAGTAGCCACTACAACGGGAGTCTCTGTGGCCAAACAATTGGGTCTCATTTCAGAAACAGTAGCAGCTGGATTTGGAGCATTCTCTGAACCCATACTGGAAATCATAGATACTTCCTCTCTTTGGGAAAGCACAGGTTTAAGCCCCTCTCCTTCGGCACCAGGGCCTAGTTTATCAGATAACGTTTCTTGTGTCCCACTCTGAAGGGGGTTTTGAACATCAGTTATGGTGACAGATTCCCTTAAAGGACCTTTGGCCTCTGGATCCGGGACAGGCTTCTGGGGTAAATTTGGTAGGGGAAGATGAGTTGCTATCGTCTCCTGATTATATTCCAAAGGAGAGGTGTTTGCCTCAGTTTCTTGGGCAGCTTCTACATCCTTAAAATCTTGGCAGTGGGCATTGAGGACTTGGGAATCGCCAGCCAAATGCTGAGGTTTCACAAGCACTTTGTCTTCCTCTCCATCTGACATGCTTGGGGCAGTGTCATTCAGTAACAGGGTCTCCTGTTTCAACAGCAGACCAGCTACCCCATCTGCGTTCTTTTCACCTCTCTGGGCTCCAGCTGGGGCCTTGTGATTTGTTTGCAGGGGCTCTGGAGTCTGCTGGGCCTCTTGAGGGGTAACATAATCTCCAGCTTCTTTCCCAGGGGGAGAGGAGCTGCCATGTGGATCACCCTTCCCAGACAGCTGCACCATCGGTTTTAATGGCTCCAATATCCTTGAATGCGTCCCTGAATCCCCTTGTAACATGGTAAGGTGATCAGAAGAAGAGTCCCTGTCCCCTTCCCTTGGTGCACTCTGTCCATCATTGGCAGGAACAATAGCAGTGACCAGGCTGGTCTCCACCCTGCCTTCTACCTCGGGGGCAAGGGCCACTTGGTCTTCGTCTGCACTGTCTGGCACAGGCTCCCCTAGGTTACCCTGCAGGATGAGTCCATCTTCACTGGCCAAGGCCTGATTTGTCTGGATAACATCTTGGATATGTTCTGCAAAAGGCATGGTGACAGAGATGCTGCTCTCTTGTGTTCCTTCAGCCAAGTGGGATGAGGAGTCAGACGCTACCGTCTTCTGGGCTTCCTGTGGGAGATTTCTCTGTCCAATCACCTCCAAAGACACAGCACATGACCTGAGGTTGGTTGCCCCCTCCACTGTGTAGCCACTGGTGACTCCATGATTGATGCTGTCAACAATGGAAATGTTTCATTGGTTCATTATCATTGAAGACAGAAGAGCACAGCAAACAAAATTCTCCACCCCACCCAAAAAAAGCAACTAAGGTACCAGGTATTGGGGATCACCTCTCCCAAGCAGTCAGATTTATTGCAGACACTAGAGGTCAGCATGTTAGTGCTGGAAGGGTTCTTAGTGAGATGGTATAATCCCTGCACATTTTAGAGATGAGGAAACTGAGGACCAGAGAACCTGCTCAAGGTCACTGAGATGGACTGGGCATATCCAGGACAGGAACCCAGATCATCTGACTTTGCCACTGTGTGACACTCCCTCTATCTATTAAAAATGCCCCTTTATGAAATACCTAATACACGAAATCTCAACTGTGTTGTTCTGACATTATCCTATGCTAGTTAGCAGCTGGTAGGAGAAGGGGAAGGGAAGAGAATAAGCATTTATCTAATGCCCGCTGCTATGTGCCAGGCCTTGTGTTAAGCACTTTTTACAAATACTATCTCACTGGATCCTCACTACAACCTTAGGAGGTAGGTGCTATTATTATCTCCATTTTACAGTTGAGGAAACTGAGGCAAACAGAGGTTAAGACATATATTTGGTAAGTATCCAAAACCGGATTTAAAATCAGGTCTTCCAGTCCCAGAGCTCTATCCACTGTGCAACCAGCTACCTTGCTGGGAAAAAAAGAAGACAAGACATCACACACACACATACACACACACACACGCACACACACACACACACACACACACTCCACCAAAAAACAAAACAAAACAAGATAATCAGATTCAAACTTCCAAAAGCTAACTATGAAAGCATAATTTGAGCTACAAGTGCAAGTCTGATATCCTCAAACATACTCTCCTACTAGAATAAAAATCCATGCGCACAAAATTATGCTTTAAAACAAATATCCACTTGTGTGAGGGGAAGCATGCTGTTGTGGATAGAGTGCTAGCCTTGCAGTCAGGATGACTTGAGTTCAAGTCTACTCTCTGACACATACTGATGTGTGTCCCTAGGCAAATCATTTACCCTCTTCCACACCAGGTAACTCTTTAAGACTAAACATTCACCAATCTTCATTGAGAAATGTAGACTCTGTGCTAGGAATTCCCCACATCAATAAAACTATAGGTACAGACCAAAAACAAAATCTACATGTGGAATAAGTTTGGAAGGTATTATTATGCTCCTTTTATAGATGAAGGACCTGAAGTCCTGCCTAGGACAGCAGGCAGAACATTAAGTGAGGAGTCAGGAGACTTGATGCTAATATTTACTGGTTCTCTGACCAAAGAAAAACCACTTCCTCTCTGAACCTCACTTTCCTCATTTGTAAAATGGAGCTAATAATATTATTATGACCAAACAAAAATATGGTGGGAAAAGTACATTATAAATCTTAAATCACTCTGAAATATAAGTTATCATTATTATTATTACAAATAATGACCAAGGTCATAAAAGTAATAAGTAGCAGAGCTAAGACTCAAAGACACTTAGGAATCAGGGAGAGATTGTGCTGGAACTCAAAAATTTTGCTGGAGATGATCTATACATAGATTATCAGTCACTGATTTATAGTAATTTTAAAAGTTGCTCAGCATATGCAATACCTTGGCAATCTTTTTAAGCTTTTTGTAACTTTTCTGCACTTTTCCATCAGGACAAAATGTTCTGGTTAAGTCCATTAGATTCAGTAGGAATATGGTTCCTTGAGACCATTATGGGTTGCCGTCCAGGAGAAAAACAACAGGGAAATTTGAGTAAATGCATTCTAAATCATCAGATCACAGAATGGGAAAGGAACTTAGAGGTCACTGAGTCCAACCCCTGCATTTCTACAGTTAAGGAAACAGGTACCGAGAATTTAAGTGACCTGCTCTTTATAACATGCTCAAATACACACAGAATAAACTGGCCACGCTAGCTGCATGCTATGGATCTTGCTACCAAGTATTAGAAGCTGAACTAAGGCACATGTCAGCAGCAATCAGTCACTGACTAATGGTTCAAATTGGCTTTTTTATTAGCCAAAATACATACCAAGGAAAAACAGGCCATTCCTGCTACACAGAGGAGTGTTGGAGTATCCACCAACCAGGAAAGATTTAAAAGTTGCTCAGGCCTTTTGACTGTGGCAACCCCAAGTACAGTCATGGGTGCAAGACGTTTATGTAATAAGCACGATTAGCCACAGCACCAAGGAATAACTGCCTGGTAGAGATCAAGCTTTCCAGTGTAGGTAGATTAGTGAGGTACCCCTCAGTTTCAAGAAAGAGAAGGATAGCCCAATAGGGTTCATCTAACCAGCCTGCATCAGCAGGTGAATACTGAGGTCTAACAAAAGGCAGTGGGGTAGTATTACACCTGAGCTGGGAAAACAATTCCAGACCCAGACAGTGGGGTAAGAAACACAGTAGTTCAAAGCTATGAAACAACTCCAATCTGTCCCAGCAAGTTATACCTAGGCCTCTATGGTCTATGCTAATGAGCTCCCCTGTACACCAACCCAGGTACATATACTGAAACTGGCTTCTTTTAGATATTATCAGAGTGAAACTTTGCTTTGACGCTGTCACTGCCAAAATGGAAGAATTCTGGGCAACACAAATTGTGCACTTGCATCTGTACACAAATGAAACTTTTCTATGGTGCTATCCAAAATATAAAAGCTAACCTGTAAAGTGTGCTCAAATCAGAATAATGGTGTTTCTTTTTATGTATCACAGCTCCACAATCACAGTATAGGTAGTAGAAAAGAAAGAGCCCTGTAATGGGAATCAAGGGACCTGGGCTCTATACCTGTCCTGTATGATCTTGGACAAGTCATTTTCTTTCTTGGTCATCAGTAATTTTCAGTTCCTAGTATTCTACAATACTATCATAGTTTGTCACAACACTGCTACCCATTACTTTTTAGGATGGAAAGTGCCAAGGGAAGAGAAGAGCGTTTCTTCATCTGCCATTTTGGCATTCTTTGAGGCATCAACAAAACTGAAAAAAAAATAAAAAAGAGTTACAGAAAGAGAAAGGGAGGAAGAATCAGATTGGGATAATTATGTCTGATACCTTATATTCCAAAATGACTGTCAATGAAAAAAGAACCCAGGGGAAGCTACTAACCTTCAAGTGGGGCAAATACTCTCTAAGCCATTTGAGAACTTGCTATTGACTGGACCAAAGGTTCTTAACCTGAGGTCCACAGACCTTCAAGGGCTCTGTGGATAGATTCTAAGTATTCAATGAATTTTTAAAGAATATTTTGTATTGATTTCTTTTGTAATCCTATTTTTAAAAAAATTATGCAGTTAAAAACAGTATTCTGAGAAGAGGTCCATCAGTTTCACCAGATTGCCAAAGGGGACCAAGGCACACAAAAAAAGGTTAAGAATCCTGGACCAGACTGTCCCAGTGGGGCTTACAAGCAATCAACAAGGTTTCCATGAAATGCAACCTTCCTCTCTATGACACTCTCTATTTACTAAGAATTTTTCTACAGATTAAATCACATTGATCTCAGCCCATGAATTTTCAATTTTAAAAAGCTCTATAAATTTAATTATACCCTATTCATTAAACTAATGATTGAACAGTTGAAGTAGTTTATGAGATGTACCATGTGTAACTCAGAAATGGACTATCCCCATTTAGGTCAGTTTCAACCAATAAATATGCAAATATCACCCAGCCCATGAGATGTACAGGCAATTAACTAAGCCAAATCACTATTCGTTTCCATTTCTCTGCTAGAAATCCACTTGAGGTAGGTAAATGGTCAAGGTTGGCTGAAATAGCCTTGTTCAGGGAACAAGGCTATAAACTTACTCCATTCT